TAAACTTCAACGAATTTTCACAAAATTTAAGCGTAAAATGTTTGTACAGCACCGAACACAACGGGGCCCTCATCTGGGTCAAGGCCTTCAGGTGCTACCATAATATACACAATTAGTAACAGAAAGTCCAGGATTTGGGCTACCCTGCTGTACTGTTTCCCTTGAATTTTGTTTGTGAATTTACAAAAACTGTTCCCTGGGGTTAAACATTCAATGAGGTAATGAGAATATTGGATTTCAGGAAGAGTCTGTGATGGAATATGGATGCTCCTCCATCAGGCAGCATCACAGTACATGCATCTTTGGTCTTTCCAGTCTATCCCTCAGAAGATCAATACAATATGGAAATGCACAGACTGGGATATTAAAATGTTAATCTCTGATTGTAGCAACTTTTGGCCAGGTCTACACTTAAAACTTTTGCTGGTATAGAAATATCAGTTAGGAGTGTGATTTTTCTTCTTTAATGACATTTTTATAAGGGCAAAAGCCCTTGCGTTGATGCAAGTCTCCTGGCAAAAACCTGTCTTCGGCCAGTGGAGGCTGTGTCGACGATAGGAGGGTGTGCCAATACAATTATTCTAGCATAGTTACACTGGCAAACCTCTTCTAGTGTAGACTAGGCCTTAGGCCCGGATCCATGTCTAACTCCCACTGACGTCAGGAAAAGTTTGGAAACACGGTGGTTTCTCGGTCTTCAACTGAGCTCTTCAGAAACAGAAACATTATGGATTACCTGATAATAAATATTCAGTGACACCCAAACTGCAACAGCTGCAAGGACAAAGGTAGCAGGTCTGTGCCACATCTCAAAAGATATGGATTTATGCTGTTTTCTTATATTTCAGAGCTTTCCGAGAAGGTGTCACTAGAGCATAAAGATATTTTCAATTTATGTGACGAGGGAGGTAGACAGCCTGCCTTCAGTTCAGCTAGCCTGCTCAGACTCCAAATTGGCAGTGAATCACCACCCTCATGCGTCTACAGGCAGCAGACAGGTCTGAGAAGTTTACATTTACCCAATCTAATCTTTCCAGCAGCAGGGCTGACCCACCCACTAAAGAATTGGAGGTGGCAAATAAAATTATCTGATCTATGAAATCCAAATAGTGTATTATGCTATAAAAATTCATAGCTGGCTCTTTGGAGATTTCCCGGTCCAATTTTCCTTTCTTAGAGCCAAAGGACACAGCTATGCTAACAAAACTCACTGTCTTACTCTAGTAATAGGCCTAATTGAGGATAGAAAAAGAGGGTCCCCTGTGGGAGAAAGAGCTTCACTCTAGGAGGAGGCAGAGAGCTATCGCCTCGTATATACAGGAGCTCTCAGGGCCAAATCCAGCAACACCCCAGAGAGTCTGACTGCGCAGAGGTGGAGGAATGCTCTCTCAGGCTCCCCTCTTTCCCCCTCCTCCGAGTGGGCTGGAATGGCCTGCTGACTTACATACTTGTAGAAGCACCCCCAAAAATCCCTGGCAGCCTACCACAGAGCATTGCTGCACTGCACATGGGGTATGGGACACCCACATCCTACCCCAAAGATGCAGCAGAGACACAATGGTCCAGATGCAACCTAGGACGCCTGTGCCATAGGAAAAAGGTGCTGGAGCTGTTTCTTAAGTTGCAATGCAAAAAGGGCTTTGCATCCCATTGGATTTCACAGGAATTTTATTGTTATTCATTTATATTCTTCAGAGTTGGAGCAAAGACCAGAAATCCTACTTGAGAAATTTCAAGAGGAGGTTCAGAAAGCACCATGGACAACCATCCATTGTGGGCATCATTTTAAAAGACTGTTTTGTTGGTCAATCAGGTTCTGGACTTTAATTTCTAGTTACTTCAAAAATAATAAATTCATTGTTCTCAAGGTTAACCTTAGCCATTGTCTATACATAAGAAAGACTAGCGAACTAGCCACTAAAGCATCGACTTGCAATATGATTCCCTGTTGGGAATATGGATGTAGTTTGGATCTACCTTCCAGGGGAAGCTTGTGAGTTCAAAGTCCTTTTCTTCTTTCACATAAAATGCTCCCCAAGCATATTCACAAAATATTTCACTGTAATTACAACTCATTTTAAGACAGAGGCAATTTGGAGTATTTGGACACATTGCTTCCAAAGGAATGCTCCTCGTCTAATGAAGCTCCCAGTACAACTCAAGGCAAGCTCCCAAAAACACAGGAGAGGATTTATACCAAAAAGATTAATTAAACATAACACGACTTGTGCCTTCTACACAGGGCAGACCTCACTTGTTCCCATCATGCTCATTTCCCTCTTCAGTTTATTTCACAAAGACACAAAGGGTAAAACTTCCTATTGCAGAACTTTTGAAGCTACTTTGGGACCTCCTCTCACACTCAAATATCCCTTTCCAGTAAGAGGGCTGGCTCTCTTTGGAAAACTTACTTTTTTTTCCTGTGCTGGGTACAATTCTTTCAGCCTCCAGGCTCCTGTTTTCTCTTTTTCCAATTTCATTTTACAGACAGCAAGTAAAATTTTCAAAAACGCCGAAGTGACTTAAGAACATGAGTCCCATTTTCAGCCATGACTTAGGCAGTAAGGAGGCTGAATCCCACTGACTGTCAATGAGACGTAGGCTCCTAAGACAGAAAGCCACTTTTGAAAATGGGACTTAAGACCACTAAGTAACTTAGATGCTTCTGAAAATATTACCCCGTGTTCGTATTGATCCACCCAGGCCTCATTATCCTATCTCACTAGAGTAAATCAGGAGCAATTCCTCTGATGTCTCTGGGGTGAAACTGATGTGAGAGGAGAATCAGGTCCCTCCATGAGTCAGCAAGAGACCTTATGCAACAAAAGGAAGCGGTGTTTCCTCACAACTGTATCAATCCGTTAACTTTTCAAGATGATCATTCTACCTCTCTTTCAGGAGAAGAGATTCCATTTTTACTTGTTCTTAAGGAAACATGGGCCAAATTCTGTTCTCTCTTACACCAGTATAAATCTGGAGTTACTTTACTGACTTTAAAGGAATTACTCCAGCTATACACCAGTGCAGAGAGCAGAATTTGGCTTAGGGAGTAGGTGCTCCCCAAAGAAAATTACTTCCCTTCATAGTAGATCGTGAACTCCCAAGAAGAGAACTAATTGGCTCTCTCTCCTGACGAGCTACCATGGAGTAGCAGTCACAGAGGGGAGTTCCAGTACGAAGGGAAGAAAAAGCTATTACAGCAGTGTTTTCCTCTGCCGAACACACAGGTGGAAGATCTCCAACGTTTGTTAATAGCAATGATTTTGAGACAGCTGAAGCAAAGCCTATATTAAGTCAGATCAAGTTTACAGATGTGTAGCTGATTATTTTGAATAATTAAATGGTGTCAAAACCAGCTGTGATGAATAGCACTGGGGGCTCAATTCATAAATAATTGAGAAGCCTGAGTCGCATTTGATCATTCTGATCAAATTCTACTCTCTGGAGGATAAATGTTTGTCCTGAATACCATCAACATTGTTAAATGCCTCAATATTCCTGCTCAGTCATCCAGCCAGCAGCCAATTGAACTAAATCACTTTAACACCTCACCCATTTGCCGTTCTCATGAATACAGAATATCTGTGACTTACACAATAGTTTTTGGGTATCAAACAATGCAGCCACTCACACAGACTGCAACCAAACAGGGGCAGTAAATGTTTTAAATGATCCCATAAAAGACAATTCCTTCATATAGTCTTGTCTTTATTGCATTTAGTGACAAGGCTTTAGATATTAGACCACCAATTTTGTTCTGTGGTCGTGTTTATAAATACAGCTGCCTTTATGATCCATCCATAACATTTTAAAATAGGCATATATTGATGAATCTCACCCATTGTGGTCTCACTGTGCCCTCACTGGAGGCAATGCCACAGCTACACACCATTTACCAGATTTCTCAGCTGAAAATACCTTTTATGTGCCAATATTTCCAACCTCCATTGTGAACTGATGGAAAGGAACTCCTGTTAATGCTAGCTACAGAATGACTGTTCTCCCTCATTAGTGCCTGGGACTACAACCTTTACTCACACTGTCTGGGGCTTACCCTGTGAGTAGTTCCATGGGCATCACTCAGGCTACCCATGTTATTCAGCATGTGTAACAATTGCAGGTTCAATCCCTTATTGATCGCTAAGCTCCAAAACCTGTTTGTTACTAGGTGTAGAATACGTAAGTGTCATGTACCTGGATTTAGAGAGAGAAAAGGCTGTATTCTAATCTCAGTTTCATGTTGATGGAGGTGTTCCAGATTTACACTGGTGTAACTCCGATCAGAATCTGGCCTAGATATTTTAAAATATTCGCATAATATAAATACTGTGGGCCAAACTGGAAGCCCTTACTCAGTTTTCACTCTGACAAAAAGCCCAATGACTTCAGTGGGACTTTTTCTGAGTAAGGAGTGAGTATAAAACTGAATAAGGACTTTGGGATCTGGCCCAAGATAAACAGGTAAGAGCAGCAATTTCCATGCCCATGTTTAACTTTGCTTACTAAGGAGCAGATTCTACCACCCTAGCATATGTCTTCACTACCTGCCGGATCGGCGGGCAGCGATCGATCCAGCAGGGATCGATTTATCGCATCTAGTCTAGACGCGATAAATCGACCCCGAGCTCCCTCCCGTCGACTCCTGTACTCCACCGCCGTGAGAGGCGCAGGTGGAGTCGACAGGGGAGCAGCAGCAGTCGACTCATCGTGGTGAAGACACCACGGTAAGTTGATCTAAGTACGGCGATTTCAGATACATTATTCATATAGCTGAAGTTGCGTAACTTAGATTGATCTCTCCCCACCCAGGAGTAGATCAGGGCTGAGTTGTATCTTACTCCTCCTGGGCTACTCAAGAAGTAAGGTATTATTTAGTGTGAGTGATGGTAGCAAACCCTGGTCCATTGTGACTGGAATAAACCAGAGCTTGTCCCTTACTGTGAGTACACAGAATGTTTAGTTAGGAAAACGCTATTTCATTAAAGGTTAATGAAACTTACCTCAAAGTCTTCTGAGAAGCCATGTTGGTTATTAGAATAGAGCTCACTGATATGTTTAATGAACTGTTTGACAGGAATGGCTTCCATGTCATCTGTAGAAAGAGAAAGATATTCAGAGTTGCTAGGTCATGTTTTTTCTGTAAATACGCTGATATGTTTCATATCTGAGACTGAGAGATCCATAACTCCATCTTCAACATCAGGTCATAGAATATTTCACTTGTGCCTTATTGGAGTTCTCTAGTGGCATGGTGTGTACTGTATATACTTACAAGAAATCTTTGCATATCGGTTACTGATATCGAGGTGCGACTGTTCACACATCATACCTAATCCTAGATATTACAAATATGAGTAGTGGTTTTGGCCTTGTAATGCATTTTTGCAAAGCTATCCTTTAGCACAAAGTTACAGTACCATTTTGTCAATTATACCTTTGGGAGTATTTTAACTGGGGGTATTTTAAAAAGGAAAGTAGCTGTGAGTTCTCAGATAAGGTGACAATCAAAACCTGGAGCACTTTTGTGGCAACAAATTCTTTAAGAGTCACAGAATAGCCACACAAAAGACGAAGTATACTTTAAAAAATGGGCCTTGTATCACTGCAGACAGCTCCTGACTCAGCAGCGACACAGGTGTATTTCCTGGAGTGGAGGAATTTCTCCTTTTTAATTTACAGTACAGTAGCATCCCAATGAATCCGTAATGAAATACTATACGAGCATCATTAACGTTCACTTGGAGCAAAAGAACAGCGTGGGTAGTGAGTTTTCTCTTCACTCCAAACCCTGTTCCTAACATGACACATTCACTCTACTGGACTGCTAACCACAGAGCCATTTCTATTCCGTACGGCAATAAATCAGGAACACTCTGAATGATGAAGAAACCCAACGTTTCGATGAATGCAATAAAAACCTAAGGACATTTCCAGTGTTTTGGAAGAAGTCCCTCGGAAATCAAGACATCATGAAAAACCAGGCCAGTCCTGGTAAAACTGGGATGTAGGGGTACCCACCTCAGGCAGGGCTTGTCTAGAGGAACAATCAGTGCGCGGCAAACGGGGTGTAAATCGGCAGCACGCGGAGGCTACATCTACACTACAGCACTTACAGCGGCTCAGCTGCACCGATGCAGCCGTGCCACTGTAGTGCTTCTGGTGGAGATTCTCTGAGCCGACGGGAAAGAGCTCTCCCATTGGCTCAATGACTCCTGCCTCTGCGAGAGCCGGTAGCTACGTTGGCGAGAGAAGCTCTCCCACCGACATGGCGCTATCTACACCGGCGCTTAGTTCGGTGTAACTTACATCACTCAGCAGTGTGGATTATTCACACCCCTGAGCGACATCAATTATACCCAAGTAACCTGTAGCGTAGATAAGGTCTAAGTATCTGTGTGGAACCCACTACCTAGAGCTAAAAGCTCTCTAATGTGCATTGACCTAATCCTATTTCAGAGTGGAGTAAGACTTTCTCTACACTACAGTTTACTTCGGTATAATTTATGTTGCTCAGGGGTGTTAATAATCCACACCCCTGAGTGATGTAAATTACACTTATCTAAACGCTGGTGCAGACAGCGCTATGTTGGCAGGTGAGCGTCTCCTGCCGACATAGCTCCCGCCGCTCACGGAGGCAGGAGTTATTAATGGGAGAGCTCCCTCCTGTCTCCACCACAAGCACAAGCTACGCCGATGCTGCTGTGACGTTGTAAGTGCTGTAGTGGAGATGTAGCCTCAATCAAAGCACACTCTGGAACTTTGTGTGTGTGGTAGCAGGGTCCACATGGACAAACAGGATGTAACATGCTAGTGCACTAAAGATTTACACCCCAGCTGCTCTGTTCATCTAGATAAGCCCTCTTATTTCTGGGGTCTCAATGTTGCTACATTCACCACTTCAATTGGTAAAATCCCTGTGCGTTCCGAGCGTAATTAGTTAATGCTCGCAACGGGGCATTTACAAATTGTGATGCACTACAACACAAGTGTGATTATTTTCAGCATGTGCAATAACTTATTGCCCAATGGTTACTATTGTCTGAGTGCATCATTCAAGGCACTATTTAGACCTTTATGTATTTTATTTAATATCCTTCTGAAGGTTACATGTGGCTTATGTTTACTTCAAGTATCTGTGATGTATTTTTCCTCCCACATGGTTTTGTGCTACAGCTGCAGTATTTTCTGCATTCTCCTGCTTTTCAAAAATATCTATGTTACGATGGAAAAAAATCCAAATATTGCTACAGATATTCAGCAAAATTTAAAGATCAACAAAGAGACATGTAACATTTACTGTATTCAGAGTGAAAGATCTTTGGCAAACTAATAAACCAGTAAGCTTTCATATACGCTTTTTTTAGCAAAGGGTACAAATATACAGTATGTGTAA